TCTTGGTAGGAATTTCTTAAAGCCTTCTGTGGTGTTTGTCATTCCCGTTTCATGAGGTTGCAGCTGTAGTAGGAGTCATGGCTTATCCCAGACCAGATTTTGAACTATTACAAGGATAGGGCTAGAAGCTGAAAATATTTTCCAATTAATAGTCAATTCTTTCCCAACTAATTCCACTGACAGTGTTTAGCAATTTAAATAAGCCCTCAAATAAATTAGGTTGTTCAGCAAAAGGAAGGGAGGAGGGGGCTTCGCCTGGAAAATGTAGTCACAGCAACATGGCACTTAAGAGGAAGAAAATGAAGGTGGAAGTCTGGCTTATTGTCAGTGCATCTTCAAACACAGCCAGTCCAAATAGATTTAAAGCTCTCATTAGTGATTGAATCAGTATAAATAGACATAAAGTCCTTTCTGCCTAGAAAGCCTAAAGAGATTACTCAACAGATGCAAATCTTATTCACTGTTACTGACAGTGGCAGAATGTTAAGATAACATACTGGTACCAGATGTAAATGCAGATAATACCCATCAATTGCTACCTGTAATTACAAGTAGTTACTTCTTTTGCACGGGGTCATCTAGCTGTCTGAATTACATTCTCTTTACTAGTCATGCATTTAAAAATACAAACTTGATGAGTAATAGCAGATATGAAGGTGCTTGTATCTGATATCAAGGAAAGCAGGCATTTCCATTAATGATAGAAATTACACAGGGGACTGAATTAAGGTATCGCCACCTCAGCAGTATTCAGTTGTTTGAGGAAACCAAAAAAAGTGACAAATTCAGCCATTCTGGAGATTCTGGAGTTCTACATTCTAGAAACTAGATCGTCTTGAAATCATGTTAACATAAACATTTTACTTTAAGAACAAAACCAAGGTTAATTTATTAGGGATGGTTCCTTTGCTGTTGGTCTAGTTTGATTTACTCTTGCTATTGCTGTTATACTACACTTTTCTTTCTATTAAAATTTAGCTTCTTTCATCAACAAAACAACTCTGAACAAGACATACTGGATCCTTTATGGGGCTTTTGGAAAGATGTACTTGGGTCTGCACAGAAACCTAAACAATTCCCAGTCAGCTTTCTCACTCCTGTATTGAACCTGCCTAGACTAAGCTTAGGGGAAGACATTTGCCTATGAAACATCCACTATGCTAACTGATTAGATTTATGTTAAGATAGTGAGAGATGTTAAACAAATCTGATTGTAGCTGTCAATTCAATTTTAAACTCTAGGTCCCAATCGAATGGAAGTATACTATTATATTTTTCTTAATATATTTAAAACTCCTCAGCATTCTGGGATTGGGTTTTCCTTTCCCTCCTCTAGTTGCTTGAGGCTATATCATGATCTGACCTATATACCTGGCAGACAGCTCCACTGAACAGTACCTCCAGCTGTGCCGTGGCAATCAATGGTCATACCATTTTTCTCTTCTTAAAAAAAAGTGGAAGTTACCTTTTTTCCCTGTCTTCTCAGTGTGGTGATTATTATTTTCCAAGCAAATTAAAGGATTTAAAAAATTGACATATTCTTCTCCTCATTCTATTTTTGCTAATTCTAGGTATGTGAATATCCAGATGGAACCAAGTCTTTGAAGCTAGGAGATTTTGGATTGGCGACTGTGGTTGAAGGACCTTTATATACCGTCTGTGGTACACCCACATATGTGGCTCCAGAAATCATTGCAGAGACAGGGTGAGGATGATTGACTAAGACATAGGTCTTGTAACCAGTTATCTTTGGCAGGTAGCTTCTAACTGTTGTAAGAACTAGAATGTTCTAATAGGATTATCCTCCATCTGGTAACCAAACCACCTATGAGAAATCAGGCATCATTCAGTTCCTCAAAGAGGCCTTCTCCCAGAACCCACCTTTGCCTCCTGACCATCTCCCTAGGACCAGCGCTGGTGCAGTGGAGCTTATTGGTTTGTGTTCCCTGCCTTGCCACACTATTCAGAGCCCGTTGTACCACCATGTCAGCTGCTTGGGGGAAAACAGACAAGCAAAACACAGTGTTCAAGTTAGAAATGGAATAATTTATACTGGAAGAGACTCCGGAGGTCACCTAGTCTAAACCTGTTCTCAGAGCAGATCTAATTAGATCATGTTGATTCAAGTGGCCTCGTTTGGGTGACACATGCTATTTGATAACTGTTGGTTTAATTAAACAACCCAATTTTCTGTATTGAATGGGTGGTTGCATAAATACAAAATAATTTTGTAAAATGGTAGAATTTCACAAGTCGTCTTTCCTTTTACACCTGTTAGTACCTCCATTCCATGCTAGCTGACTTTTGCCATAGCTGTGAGAGTTCTGAATTTGGTCTTCCTAACGAAGGGAGGTTTGTTGCATTGTTTCAAGTTCAGTGCATTTGTCATATCGAGAAATATTTCACAGCTGCAGTGAGCTCAAATGTCAAAGGGCACTTCATCTGCGTGTTTTAGATTTTGACAAACTGAATCTACTGGATAGAAAATAATAGGAAAAAAGACCTCTTTTTGACCTCTAGTGTTTTAATTTCTGTGCTTTAAAAGAAAAGTGCTGTTCTTTTTTCCTGTGTTACTCAAGAGACTGGAGAATTGGTATCTTTCTTGTTGCTTAGCAACACATGATAACCTTAGAGATAGTTAATCCAATATGGCGACTGAGAAAGTACATCCTTGTCTTTTATCATTAGTGATTCTGGATTGGGAAACCTTGGTGCTCAATTGAATCTGAGTATATTCAGAAGATCCTGGAAAGCCTTGAGGCTTATAGAAAAAAAAAAAAAAAATCAATGAAAAATGATGTTATCATGGTTTCCTAAAGACTGTGAAGGATGCTAAGTAAAATGATGCTTAGGTGCAAAATTTCCACATCATCAGCAAGTAACTTAGATCAGATTCTCAATATATATTAATGTAAATGTAATCAATTCCTTGATTGGCATAATTTTTTTTTTTTAATCTTTTAATCCAGCATAAGTAACAGTCTTGTTTTCTCAGGTATGGCTTAAAGGTGGATATTTGGGCTGCAGGTGTGATCACATACATACTGTTATGTGGATTTCCACCTTTTCGCAGGTGAGTGTCCTTGTATGTCAAAGGGAAACACAGTAAAGAACCAAGTTTTTTTCTGGGCAAGTGTTACCTTGGGGGGAAAAAAAAAAGGGAAAAAAATATTATATTGACATATTTTATTTACCTTTTTGTTCTTATTTTAAATTATTTTCACTTGTCCCTATTGTCAAGTTTTTGGGATCAATTTTAGTCATTTTCTAAAGGAGCAACTGGTTTACTGCTGTGTGCAGGGATGCAGTGGTGTGAGGGCTGTTTCTTTTCCTTTTGTCTGCCAGGTGAATCCCAGTTCAATGAACGTGTATACTTTGCCCTCTAGTGCCTCTGTTTGGACACAGCAGCTTACTGGTTTGTAGCGTTGAGGGTGGAGGTTAATGGTAAACGGAGGTGAAGGGAAGAATTTGCTTATGTTGCATTTTTACCTTGTTGATCTTTTTGATGAGAGTCATATGAGTGACAGAGTTTACAAACATGATTCTCGCTACTCAGTGTCACGATATGTATGAGTGAGTTCTACTAAAAAACAAATGGATATGCTTTGTGCCTCAGCAATTTTTTTGCCAGGGAATGAGAAGGACTTGGCATATTTTAACAGGGAATTCTCCTCTTAATTTATAACTAAGTTATTTCTGCACAGTCTGTTTGTCCATTTTTACAGCAAAATACTTAGTTTTTAACTAAAAATCACCAGACTGAATGAGAAGATTTTGCAAAGAATACAATATAAACAATTGTTAATGGAAAAATATCATTTAGTTTAGGTATCTGGTTTTTGCATGCAGTTAGTTCATGTTTAAAACTGAAAATATGTTTTGAAATATTTATTATACAAACAAATGGCAATTGACTGGAATAGAGTTTGGGGGCTGGACATGGAGAATGTCCATACCATGCTATTAGAATTGGGTCTTAACCAAGGTGAATAAATATTTATTGCAAAACTAACCCAAGAGGTAAATTGATGAATAGATGAATTGTTGAACAGATGAATTGATGAATTTCTGTAATGACAGAAATAGGGGTGGATGTGCACAGTGGCTAGAGCCAACAGTGGTTAAAAAAAAAAACCCAAACCCTGCCATTGACTATTTATGATACCATGTTTTTGATAAAAAAGTACTTATCCTTTCAATATCAGTAGCCTGCTAGTACTCAGTAAACTAAATGTATTGTGTGTTTTCCATATCTCCTCTTTGGACTTTGAAAATTCTCCTGTTGTGATAGGTTAACAGAAGAGCCTCATTTCACTATACTTCTTCCCCCTATCATATGATTTCTGTAGCAGGTCCTTTAGAATTGGGCTGGCAAGTGACTTATTTTTTAATCGTCTTTCTGGTTCTTTTGTATTAGCTATATAGTCTCTATTCCAGTGGAAGTCCTTTCACCTCAATATATATTTTTCACCTCAATGTATTAGTTTTTCTGTTCTCATCGCTCCTGACAGCATAACTATGGCAAACACCTCAGAAATGCTGCCACTGTATAAGCTTGCAAATTACACATTTACAGTAGTTGACATAACATTTCTGTTCCATCCCCAAGTCACGTTAAAAATGCACATGACAAATTGACTTCTTTCTCATCTTCTTTTTCATTACTGCTGTTCTACAGTGAAAATAACCTTCAGGAAGACCTCTTTGATCAAATACTTGTTGGGAAGCTGGAATTTCCTTCTCCCTACTGGGATAACATCACTGATTCAGCAAAGGTACTGATATGTTTTCCAACCTGAAATAGTGTTACTAACAAGCCACTGAAAAGACTGTTCTCTGTTGGAAAGGCAGAATAGAAGATTCAGAACAGACTCTTACCCACTCTTCCAGCTGCTGTGCCTTTTTAGTTAGTTAGCTTAACAGTGCTTGATGAAAGCTCAGGTTTTGAAGGCCATTATTTTATTGTCTAAGTGTAGCAGAATAACAGTTGCATTCAGTGAACATCACATGCTATTCAGTTTACTTAATGGTGGGCTGTTATAACAGGTTCAGTGCTTCAGCTGTAAAGTAAGTGTCTCTCTGAATTTTTCCCTCCTATCACGCTTTTAAAACAGAAAAATTATTGCTATGTGGACTGAAAGCAATGAACATCATTTATTCCTATTTTATTTGAGCCAGTTAGAACTTTTCAAGAGGTGCAGCCAGCTTGATTTGCCATTGCTAATAGTTCTTGTGTTATCATTGACCTTTGTATTTAAAATTATTACGTCTGTAGTGTAAAGGTTCCAACTTTTAAGCCCCACTTCTCAAGCCCCCACTTCTCATTCAGTAACATGCTCTAATGATCTCTGAGGACTTTAATTAGCAAGTGGAAATTATTTGTTATCCAGCCAATGAGAATTTGCATTTTTTTCTGCATTTCCCAATGGCTGTTTGTCCATTTGCCAACATTTCCAAGCTCCAGTCATCTCACACTCTTCCAGATGTGTGTTCTGAACAAATGAAGCCCTCAGTCTTGGTACTAAATGTGACCTTTCACTTCAGACTTACACAGACTAAATAACTAACTTGGCTGGTTGGGAAGCCTCTCAGTTAGGTATGTTCATTAGTATTTGCTAAAAGAAGCATTTCTTAAAACTGCAAAGATGATAAGAATATGAAGACTGATTATTTGGAGGCTATAAAAGGTTTTTCAAGGGAGAATTTGGCTCCAAGTACATTAAGTTGTTGATTTGGGAGGGAGACATTTGTCTTAATAGGCTTGTAGAACCATGAATTACATCAGTAAATTACTTGTTAGTTGCAAAACTTGAATGAATGAGAACTAAAGAAAGTTAGTTCGGGTTTGGGGATTTTTTAAAATTTTATTTTACTGACTGCTTTGTATCAATGACCTCTGAAGGTTTATCATATCTGTAGGCACCATTAATGGAAGGCCCATGGAATTATTTGATAAGCTGAAGTCATCTGCTCTAGCACCTCTAAAATACCATGAAAGCCACAATACCAAATCTTTTGGGATTAACCATGTAATTAGTAGAATTAAGCATTTTTCTCTATCTGCCTGTCTATACCAGATTATCCTTAGGTGATGAAATGAGTTAAATGCCTTTTATTCTTCTGGAGCAACACAGAAGAGAACATAGTTTTCAAATCATTTCAGCAGTTTATTGAATTTCAGATGCAGTTTCTTGCTTCTGATTTGCACTCTTTAGGTACTGCTACTATGTGCACGTACACTGCCCATAGAGGATCTCATCTCTCCCAAGTTTGTTCTCATTCTGGTCACCTGCATGAATATATAGAGAACAAACTGGGACATTATAGCTGATTTTTTTAACATTTCCTTTTCATCTGGTTTCAAAAGACTCAGTGAAACATGAATACAATAAGGAAGTTGATATGACATATGCCGTCCAGTATACTCTTAAACCTAAAGGGCAAATTTTCTATTCCACTGAAGTTGCACTGGTATCACTGGGTTATGGTATCAGTGTAAGCTGGGTTTTGTTTTGGTTTGGTTTTTTTCAGGCAGGTAGCAAAAAAACTGCACTGAGAAGATCTTGGTGCAACAATATTTTCCATTGTAATATCCTTTCCCACTCTCCTCAAACTCTTCTTTCTTTTTTTTTTTCTTTTTTATTTTTAATAAAGGAGTTAATTAGCCTGATGTTACATGTAAATGCTGAAGCCCGATATACAGCAGCACAGATCCTAAGCCATCCCTGGGTGTCAGTGAGTAACTTACATTTTACTTGTCTCTAATATGATATTAAATCTGTAAATCTAACCATTCAAGTGTATTTTTCAGAAGCAGCAATACATTTCAACTGTGCCCATTTCTGTTTATTGAACCACTAGTCCCATTTCTGCATAAAAAGAGAACAGCACGAGTCTGAAGGTGGCTTCAGCTCTGACAGCACTGTTAGCTCCTTGCTGACTGCAATTAGAAGGTGCTGGGGGTTGCTATAACCCTGCTTAAACATAACAAGACAGGCAGATGTGTGACTTGGGCATCTTTTTTGTTAATTCACATTCAGCCTGGAAAACAGTCTTCTGAAAAATGTGTCCATGGAAGCACTGTTGTGCATTGTTGGCATCTTGCTGCAATGCTACTTAAAGTACAATCTCCTGTTTCTTGAAGCACTTCAAGATAAGAGAAATAAATTTAGCAAATAAAATACCTAATTTAACATAGGCACTAAGCTCATGGCTGCCGAGTCCTCAATCTTTTTGGGCAGCAGCAATGGGGAACAAAAAAATGCATTGCTTTTTCATCTAAAATCAATTAATTATTAATAAATATTAGGCTTACATGTAGATAGGCAATGTTTATTTCCACACATATTTTAAAAGAGGAACTGAGTATGATCCATGGAGTTCCCTCAAACAAGAGAAGACAACTAAAGTGAGTGTGTCTGTGCATAACAGCTCCTCTCAAACATATTTATGATACTGTATAATGTTTCCACACTTAGGACATGATGGACCATTTAAAATCCTAATTTAAAAGAAAGCCAAATGTCAAATATGCTCTTTATTTTTAACATTATTTCAAGCATGTTATTTTTAACATGCTTAAATCAAACCTGCAGCTTATAATTGTGGGACAGATCAATAGATTGAAAGTATAAAGTGTCACATGGCATTTTAAGAAATAGAAATTCATACATGAAACAGCAATTACTACATTCCTTTCCTCTGTAATTTGTCTTAAACCATTTGAACTATATCTTAGGTAGCAGAGTGCATTCATTTTTGGGCTGCCTGTCTAAATGCTTACTTCGCATTAAAAAGCAGGAAGTACCTGAGAATAATAGAAAACTTCTCTTTTACTCAGTAACAGTCAAACATACTTTTCGTTTTTTCCTAACTTGAATGTTGTGTTTATTCTTATACAGGATGATGCTTCCCAGGAGAATAATATGCAAGCTGAAGTAACAGGTAAACTGAAGCAGCACTTTAATAACACCCTACCCAAGCAAAATAACACATCTGCTGGGGTTTCTGTCATCATGGTAAGAGAAATGAACACTTTTATGCATTGATATTATACTTTGCATATTTTCCTAACAGTGCTCTATGAGCATGTGTGGTGCAAGAATAGCAAAAGCAAAGCTAGAATAGACTCTAATTCTAGTCTTTATTTATGTATAGTGTGGATTGTCTCATCATCGCTTGAGAGCAACCGAGTCTATCACACGGTGCTAGCTAAACTATCAAAACAAGCTTTCAAACAGAAACATGTAAACACTAAGTAATTGTATGTTGAAATTAAGCTTATTAATGATTTAAAATCTCTCATTATAAAAACTGTATTTTTTTTTTAATCATACTGACCACCTAGTTAGTTAAGTAGGCTCTTCCCCTCTGCCCAACCAAATACTGCTTGGTCTTGAGCATACTGTTGTTCAACACTATGCTTGCCAGGAAACCAGACTCCATTTCAGAAGCTTTCTTTGTCGTATTGAATGTTTACCACATTAATTTTGTCCCAATCTAACCACTGCTATTTTTTTTTTTTCTAATGGCAAACTTTGTTCAAAGCATACAAAGGAACCCTGATGACCTATAGTTGAACTTACATAAACAGTAATTCCAGAAGGCAGACATGTGAATCATGGTAGGAGAAATGGAGTGTACTGTTACCAGTACTCAGAACTGCACTTGTAATTGTCCAGTGACTTTTGCAGAGAGTATGCAGCTGCTATTGAGATTGAACTGCCATCCTGTTCTTATCGTGGTCCGTTCTTGCCTAATGCAAGGATGGACAGAGCCCACAAAGAGTATCTTCAGTTACTAAAAGAAAAATAAAACCATCTATGGTAGTAACATTAACAGTTATTTCCCCGTTGGTATTAATTACTCTCAAAGTCCAGCCCACTTATGTTAACAAAGAATTGGTTTATTCATCTGCAAGTAGGTAAATTTAAATAATTTTTCTGCATCCATATATGCAAATACATTTATGTGAATTAAATAGGCCAAAGATTTAAATGTAGGGTAAGTTGTAACATAAAAATAAAAATGAGAGAAGTCAGAAAATTGATTTTCAGGTTCATGCTGTTCTCTACATTTTGTTTGACAGTTTGACTTGACAGTTTGAGAGGGACTTCAGAGCTTCATTCTTTATACTGTTGAGACTATGGATAAGCCTGAAGCTGAAAACTGGTATAAAATGCACTATATGTAATAAGAGCAATTTTAATTCTAACTCTCAGCCCCCCTCCAACTTGCATGCCACCTAAGCCTGTCTCAGATCTCTGACACAGCGTAGCTTCTGGCTTCTTCCTGGTGTGGGGTTTTTCTGATTCTATTAGCTACTGACATTCCTTCAACCAGGAAAGGACACCTCATTAAAACTTTTCATTTTCCCTTTTCCTGCCTCATTTCCTTCTAACAGGTATGGAAGGATGAAAATGCATAATTATTTATTTCTGAGTGCAGCTCCCAGTTATTGCTGAAGGGAAAAGTAACTTCTTGTTCAAAACACTGTAATCTAATGAGGGTTAAGCCCCCAATTTGTTGTTCTTGCCCTGGTTTATCTAGAGCACTGAAATTTAGTTATCTTCATGTTAAGAAGTTCTTCACTTGTACTAGCTCTCATTGCTTAAAAACATTCATATTCAGACAAGCACAGTATTGTAATTCTCATGTATTGCAGTGCATTGCTATATCAGTCCCCCTGCATACTTAATGGAATCCCTTTTAGCATCACTTCATTCAAATATTGCCATCTGGCCAATGCAGATAATACCATCATGTGGCAGATAAGTAAAACTGCACATACCTACTTCAGTGTTCTTGCACAGGAGACTCTTCCTGCCCCTAAAAGCATGTTGCTGTTAATTCATTACTGATTTTTTTTTTTTTTTGTCAATTTCAAAGTGTTCTGTAAATCTAAATTTGTTGCAATTTTGTTAGTTCTGCTTAAAGTAAGTCTAGTTTCTGTCCCTTGCTTCATTCCTTTTTCCTCCTTTCCCAACGCCTGCATTGCTTTCCTCTGAGTAGGTCCAAGGCAATGGTACGTACTAACTGCGATGCTTTGTTCTGCTGCACAAAAAATACATGTTCTCCATTTTTAAAAAGAAGAAAGGAGAAATAACTCAGCCAGTCTGAAGTGGAAAGAGCTTTACAGCCACACAAAAACAGTAAAGGACAATCTTTTAAACACTTACAAAAGTGTTTCAGTATTAAGTGATGCACATTTGAAATGCTCTAAGCAAACAGTGATATAACTAGCTATTTTTTACTTCCCCAGACATGTCTTGGTCTTTTCCACTGGGAGTAATTTTGTGCATTTGTGTACCTTACAATATCCAAAAGCAATCAGAAAAAGATGGGAATCCTATGAAGAGAGAACCAAAAAAAACAAAACCTCTGAAATAAGCATTGTTTCAATTTAAAATAAAAACAGTAAAATTAAGGCTCCTCTTCAATCTTTAGGAAAAAAAAAAAAATCCTAAATTGCATTATATAGGTATGTCTTGCAAGGTGTGACACCTATTGGAGATTGCTGTGAGGACAGCACAGGAGAAAAATCACCATCAACATGAACTGAAAGCACTTATTTTCCCTTTCAAATAGCTTATCCCACCATTGAAACAGCAGTAACAAGGTTATTCACAACTCTTTTTCCAGCAAGCAAAAGATAAAATGCCATCCTGCCAGCATAGCAACTATTTTGATAATAAAACTGCTGCACCTCAAAGCTAATCTCAAAAGCCTAGATGCAGCTCAGCTAGGCATTTCCCTGCATGCTCCATTTGCCGAGTCCGTTGCTAGCAGCAGAGAATTCAATTGTCTACTGTTGAATTTTCTCTTGGTACCTGTACGTGTGTACTAATGCTGTAAAAAACCAAAACCTAAATTCAAAATACTTAACCTCTTTTTTTGGGAACTTTTATACTCAGTACTTTGGTCTGAAAAAGACTGGTAGGAAGGCCTTGGGGGCAGGAGGGGTATCATGAGGCTGCTTGCTACCTCCCCTGCACCAGCACACAGTTTTAGCAGGAGAGTCTGAGTGAGACTGATTCCAGAACAACCTACCATCCATATACCTGCAAATTCTAGAAGTCTTCTATTTGAGAAATCAGAGCTACAAGTCCAGCTCTCTTTGCCAAATCAAGTAAAAAAGAAACTGAAATTCTGGTGCCCCATAATGAAATATGTTTTCTCTACCAAGCTATATGATCAGTTTGGAAAAAAAGAGAGTAAGCACCTTATTTCAGCTGCCCTTGATGACTTTGATGCAGTAAACAACATCTGAAAAAAAATACATGCTAAATTTAACTTTTATCTGAAAATTGGTTCAGTATCTAAAACTAAATATTTTAGTGAATAATGTATATATAATATAATAAACTCCACTAAGAATACATAGAAAATTTCACGTTAGTAAAGCAAGTCCTCCTGAGTGATCAAAAAAAGAAATTGCTAAAGAAAAGGCAGAGCACCTGACCTTACTTTACAATTAGCACATCCCAGCTCACACTGTGAAATTCCACAGGGTCATATAATGCTTACACATACATAGGCAGGAGGTGCCACAAAGGTGAAACATCTTTGTGTTCTGCCCCTCAGTCCAAGGGACACACATTTGCAGATTACTGTAGAAATCCCAGGATGTACGTCATCAAGTAAGTGTACCTTGCACCATTCTACGTAACTGAATAAACTACAAAGACCTTAATTAATCTGTATTAACTTAAATCTGCATTACCACTGGTGCTTGAAGATCTTCCACAAAGTATATAGTTAAGCCAAAAAGTATATGGATTTATAATGATCACTATCGGCCTTTAAACTGTAAAACAAGACCAATTATGCTGTCCCTGTAAGTCTCAGAAAGCAATTTTTGACATATATTTTTTTGACACAGAAACTAGTAAGTTTCCCTCTAGGTCACTTCAGGCATTCTACTGTCAATTAAACATTACACTGTGGTTTTGGTTTAGTATAACTTGCAGTATCCTTCAGAGAGTATGAAAGCTGTCGGCTTCAGCAGAGACACTATGTACTCCAGATAATCCACCTACTGCACTGCAGAGTTCTCTGTTTTCATTCTAACCCGCTACTCTCTTCTCCAGTAAACTAATTTTTAAGTATAGTATTCAGAAATTATGCATTTGTGCCACCGTGTCAGCTTCATGAAAGGTCATTTGTCTACTCTGAACAATAAACAGAAAAGCAGACCCTTTCCTTTAAGATAGAAAAACTCATTAGATTTTTATCTGGCATCCTCACAGATACACTTTTGTACCATGAGGTTCCTTAGAGAAAATTTATTGTTAAGTTTTCACTAAGCATCATTTGATTCCTTGTGTCTGCAAAAACACGGGTACATAAATTTTGCTAAGAGCTCGTACGAAGAGTTCCTGCCACATCACAACCACTCATGTCATTTTTTTTTTTCCACATCAGACTTGCAAGACAAAATTTTAAACTGGCAAACATACATATGGAAGATAAATGTTCCCTATGTTTTCCAAAGTCAGCACCACAAAATGCTGCAATTATATATAAAGATTTCTAATGTTATTTCTCCCTTTTTTCTGGCTCTAATGCATGCACTTAATGTCTTGTACATTGTTTTAACTCTTAAGACTGGGCTTTGATTTAACTGCTCTTTTAATATTTGTGCCTTGGGGTTTTTTTTGTTTGTTTTTAGAACACAGCTCTAGATAAAGAGAGTCAGATTTTCTGCAGCAAGCCCTCTCAGGACTCTGGTAGAGCTGTATTGGAGAAAGTTTCTGCAATTACTGCTGCAGCTGATGATCCTCATGTGGCTGGGTCCAAGACCCTCTTCCCTGCTGCTTCTGAGCCACTCAGATCCCCCATGCCGCCCGCCTCAGCATCTCCTGGGTTTGCTGAGGATCAGCCTGGTGCATAGGACCGATGAAACCAAGTCCAACTGCAGCTCCCTGCATTCACCATAATTTCTCTTCATTTCACATGACAGTTTGTTTTCAGTTTGTGTGCACCCTCTCGTGGCGAGCCCAAGGAAGGCTCTGTCATGGGAGACTGATCTTCTAACAGTGGGTGAGTGAACATGCATTCTGAGTGCTCTTTGCCCTTGTCTTGAGAACAGCAGTAGGGGAAACATTCTGGCAATGTTAGATGATTTTTAAGTTATCATCTGTGTTAGTTTAATTAATTGCATTTCACACAGCCTTGGGCTCTAAACAGACTAACTGATGGTGTAGCTAACCATATTTTTATACGAGCAGTGAGAGGATGAACAGTTACACAGCCTCACCTCTACAAGCAGAACCTGTTCTGTTCTTCTGATGAGGATTCTCAGAAAAGTGGGAGAGGAATACAAGGGAAGAAAACATATTCACCTTCTATTCTGATGCCTTTATTTTTAAGCCAAGTTTGTACTAAACTTGAAGAATCAAATTTTCACAAAAACTTTTTTAGTGGACTAACTGTAAAGTATCATTAGACAAACGTTGGAGATAGAGGGAAGGATGGTTGTTTTGCATAAAGTTTGTTATCGGACTTGCAGGCTGCAGGGTAGTGTTTAGATAATATTAATTTAAATAAAGTGATGTGGGATGTAAACATGAGCACTGGGAATTTATTTGTGACAAAGACTGAAGTCAAGGAAGCCTTTTTGTTCTATTTTCTATCCAAACCACAAGTGTCCCATCCAAGCCTTTCTCTAGGGTCAGACTACCTATTACATAAAATAAAATCACTTAGGACCTGTGAATGGAAAGCCTGCTGCATGTTACCTAAGCGAGGATGAATGGAGCAGTTCTAGTTCTAGGGTGAGCTAATACAGGAGCTACTACAAATAGCTGCCATCAATAGCTATTAGAGGTTTGTCAGTGCAATCCCCCTATTCACCTGGTGCAGGCACTGGAAACAAGGATTGGGGAGCAGCTATCCTTAATCTGCAGTCACAGATTAGATGAGGTTTTATCTTTACCATCATGCTTAGTTCAATAGACTATGTATTCAGCTTACTCATTTCCTTTGCTCGTTCTTACAAATTGGTCATAGTTAATTTTCTTTCTTAGCTATAATTTCTACTAGAATTGTAAAAGAAAGACCTGCAATAAACTTTCTTCATTTAAAAAAAAAAAAAAAAAAGTCATTTATTTCTTTGAGAACTCAGTTTTGTCAGTGAAAAAGTCATCTTATTCTCTCTGGAGAGATGGAACAGTTAGGTACCTACCAAAAAAGATTTCATAAAATTAATTCCCATAACCTTTTGAAGTTCATTGACTCCTATGGAAGGCATAGGTAAGCCATGACTGAACATGAGCGTTTTACCTTTTGAAGAGGAAATTAAAGATCAAAAAGTGCCAACTGATAACTTAAGGTCATGGTACAGCTGAAAGATATACAGCATCTTGGCAAAAAATGGGTTGTAAATGTATGAAAACACACTACATGTCTTAAACTATGATAAAAAGGTTGGGTTACAACCAGTCATTGTGAATTAACTTCGTTATGGGTTCACTGGAGTAAGTTCGAGATATTTATTTGGAGAATATGGGAATGGCCTTTGTATAAAATTCTGTACATTTATATATTGGTACAGTGCAAAAATATGAAAATAACAGAAACTTGCAAGAGTCCATTAGCTAGCCCTGTGTGCGGTTGGTAAATTCTGTAACAAGTCTTAGACTAAGCTAAAGAAAGGATAGATGGAGCAGGCTAACAAGGAAAGGGAGCCCCTGACAGAGACGACAGTGACAGACAATTGAACTGGCAGATTAGTAAAGAGGGGGCAGCAACAGCGTGATGAACACTGGGCTGAGTTCTGTTTTTTTCTAGGAAGATGGCTATGCAGCTGCGCCCAAGGTCTAAGTATTTATTTTACAAAGGAAAAATTGTCTTGGATTTGCAGAGATACCTAACAGGATGTGTTCCACAAAGCCTCATGCATACATAAAAGAAAGGCCGATAATTTGCCTGGTCAACAGCTGCCAGTTCTAAACTATTCATTTGTCTCGTGGAAGAAGAGAGTAAAGACATACATACCCCGAATTCATGTCCTTAAGTTCATGACTGATCAACATCTAAACATTCTTAGACAAGGTCTTTGATTCACAGGGCAGAGGCAGTTGCCAAAACACCGATTTAAAAATAGCGAGGACAGCTGGAAAAGATGATCTCGTGGCCAACATGATAAAATAAAAACATGGGATAGCTGGGCACGTTCTTAACTCTGTGTGTGACATCAGGAAAGTTCTATCACTACTCCATGCCTTAATTTAGTGCCACAGATGTTAAAGCTATGAGTGCATAGGTGGTATGTTTGTGCTGATCAGGGTATCACACTTTAACATAAAAATAAAGACGTGATGGTTAACACTGAAACCCTTAATGAAGGCTCTTAAGCATTATGTTTGGTTTCTTATCTACTGCACTTTGATTTACTCCTTCTCTCTTTGTAGAACCATCAGTTGCTGGAAGAAGGCAAAAATAGAAAATAAATTGTAAACCAGAATTATGCTATCTGCTATGAAACAACTATAGAAACTGTAAACTCAAATTATACCTTTGTCAACGATCACTGTCACCTTATTTCATAAAAGCAGCTGGAATTTATGCACCATTTTGATAGATATTGATTATATCCCAGGTTTTTTTCAAACACTCTAGTGACAGCACAATTGCTACCATGCCTACATTTAAAAAAAAAAAAAAAAAGTATTAAGAAAAAAGTATTTTTAAAAATTCCCAGTCTTTTCAGCTCCTTTGAACAGGACTAGTTGCTCATATATCCATCTGGTTTCATATATCCCAATAGAGCCAATTCCTGCAGTTCTAGATTTGAAATCCCAGAACTGAAGCCTCACCTGCTGTAATTCAACATAACACCAAATTTACTGAGATTCTCATCAAAATTTACCCTTACAGACAACTACCCCCATTCTTGAACTTATTAAATTAATTACTATAATTGTCAAAATACATTAAAGGTAGATGGTATTTTATTATGAACTTGCTTTCATCAAGTATTGCCTCCTGCTTAGAGCTAGTCATTAAGAATATTTACATAGGCCCGTAAATCTTAATTTGGACGACTTCAGTAAGCAAAGATCTCGTTTTAGATGCAAACATAGTTCCCTCCATCTGAACTGAACACTTGAAGAGAAGCTAGGAGGAACTAATGACTAAAACTAACAGATTGGAGGGTAATTTTTCCTAAATTAAATAAATAATATTTTATTTTTAAAATTTAAAATATATAAATTAATTACATACATAAGATACCAGAAAGTATTTTTAACCTACTTATTTGGAATTTTTCCCTTTCTTTCCTCCTGCCTTTTCTATATATATATATATATATATATACAAACCAAACCAAACCAAAACACAGGCTTTTCTACTACAGTAGAGTGCACCCATTGCACTGGACTTAAGAACAAAAAGCACTAAGCTTTCTGTTTGAGCTGGGAGGTTCAGTGTTTTAATTCAAAGAAACAGGTCTTCTAAGACCTCATTAACCTCTCTCAACAAGAGAGGTCCTACAATTCAGGTGTGTGGTGAGAAGACTACGGCGACAACGGTAACTTCCACAAGTAGCAACATCCAATGCCATCTTTCTTGCTCTATGCTTCGAGAAGACACCGAGTGTGTATGAAAAAAGTTGCCAAAATACACAATACAAGTGATGAGGCATCCTTCAGTGGGTGCCAGACACTTTGTGTTCTCTCTTGGAGGGCCCTGGTGAGAGAGGAGACACTCCAGCACCCTGGTGTGCCTCAAGGACATCAGAAGAAAGATCCTGTATATGATTTCCAACAGTCATCACAGCTTTGGCCTTTATGAGAAGACTCTCATTTTCCTAATCTACTTGAAATAAAAAAAAATGTTAGTTAGGAAGCAGTACCACTGCCTGTACACTCTCCAAAAAGGGCTTCAAATTCCTAGTCACAGAAATTATTCTGATCATCTCAGGCTAAACCAACACATTTATGCAGCAGCAAGAATTTTTTTATTTTAAAAGTCTCTTTTAAGCCTGGTTTTCATATCTTTCTTCCCCTCAGCAGTCACTGGTCTAATTAATTGCAAACTGATCAAGTGAATTTACTGTAGTATTTATTCACTTTTCTAGAAATATACATATTTATCAATTATCTTTCTTTTTAACAGTTTTTAAATAGGAAATTATATTTCACATTTACTCGTCACTTCTTTCAAGCTACATTCAAACAGCAAATGGAAAGCAGCAGAAATGCACAAAAGTAGTAACCTATCCAAAATTCTGAAATGCTGGTTAAGAATGATTTAAAAAAAATTTTTTTTTTTATTTTTTTTTTTTTTTTAGATTAAAAAATGGCAAGCAAATCAAACACTCCTACTGCGATCAGTTTCAATGTTTAATCCATACAAATAGGTATCTAGTTGAACTTTTCTGTCAGGGGAATCCTTTCTAGGGGGACTTTTGGTTTGTTTTTAAACTAAATTAGCATTGTAAATAAAAACAAAAACCAACCAACCAAACCAAACAAAACAAAACAGGGCAGGGGCTGAAGAAGGAAGCTGGCATGCAACCATCCACCAAGAAGCTTTTGGAGACAGAAAGCCCAGAGCAAGAACCGTGCAAGATGCAGGTTTTGGAGAAGCACAGCTTCACCAAGAAGTACCAGCAAAAAATTAGAACTTGAAGAAAACATGTTATCATATCTCAAACTTTGCCCATTTAGCAAGCATGACATTTTGAAAACCTCACGTTGTCTATTCCCCTGCAACACAGCATAATTTCCAAAGCACACATCTAAGTGTCTTTAGTTGACTAGATGATGCAGTCCCAAGTACGAACTTGTATGTCATTTCAGATTTTACTAAATATACAAATCTCTTTGGTTTCAAGACTGCTTTCTGATATTATCTCAATTCATTTACAAGAAAGTAGTTGTATTTCCCATAATTTTTAAAATTTTAAAAGTATAAAAATATTTTACATACTCTTAATAATAATGTACTTCATAATAAGAAGTCTCCACTAAAAATAAACTATTTACAGATACAAGTTAGAATTTATTCTTTCTAACTTTGTTTTGTGTGTTTTAATCCATTTTTTTTTTCCTCATGAGACTGTCTGTAT